AAACTTTTATTTTTATTTTTTTACAAAAAAAAAAAAAAAAAAAAAACTGATCGGACTTCAGATCTAGTTTATAAAGGCAGTTTTGCTTTCATAAGTTTCTTCTTTTTGATGATTCTTTTTCTGCCATTGTCTCTTCCGGTGTAGTTTATTCAATTGAGTATAAGACATCAGTATCCAATTTTCTAGCAATTCTTGGATTGTTTTTTGAATTGATGTTTTTGTTTCCGATTAGTTCTTTTTTTTATTCTGCAGATCATGGTAATCTGATTTAGGGGCACAATCAAGTAAGTTTCGTGATGTAGCAGTCTTGCTACATTATCCATGTCTGAGAGGCAAAGGCAAGCAATTTATGGTAATACGGGGCCGGTTATGATCATTTTGCACAAACATATCTCTTTCGTTCAATTGGCATTTGATGTTGATGCCTGCTTGAGAGAGAAGGTGAAGCTCATCACCCCTGCTGCGTCTGCTGCCTCCCTTGAAAATCATGTCTTCTAAGTTGAAAAGTCCTGTCCAGACACAGATGGCTGTTGCAGTGCTGAACAACAGCCCATGCAGTGGTGGCTATAATGGGGATAACAGATTGGAAGGGAAACCTCCCTCCTCACCTGCTGGGAGGAGGCGAATCTTTGTACAAACTGATAGTGGCTGTGTTTTGGGGATGGATTTGGATAGAGGAGACAATGCCCATACAGTAAAAAAGAGGTTGCAGCTTGCTCTTAATGTTCCAACTGACGAGAGCTCTCTGACATTTGGAGACATGGTATTGAACAATGATTTGAGAGCCGTTAGAAACGATTCCCCACTTCGTCTCACCAGAAACAATATGCACAGGAGCTCATCAACTCCATGCCTGTCACCCACTGGGAAGGGTCTCCAACAAAGAGATAAGAGTGGTCTTATTGAGATTCTTGGTTGCTCGAATAACTTTGCTAGAACAAACAAGCTGGTTAAAGAAATTATGAAGGCAATTAAGAATGGGGTTGATCCAATCCCCGTAAATGGTGGTCTAGGAGGTGCTTATTATTTCAGAAACCGTAAAGGTGAATCTGTTGCCATTGTGAAACCGACTGATGAGGAGCCCTTTGCACCAAACAACCCAAAAGGCTTTTTGGGCAAAGCTCTTGGACAGCCTGGCCTTAAGCGTTCTGTGAGGGTTGGAGAAACAGGGTTCAGAGAAGTAGCAGCCTACCTTTTGGATTACGGACACTTTGCCAATGTGCCCCCAACAGCACTTGTGAAAATCACACACTCTATCTTCAATGTCAATGATGGTATGAATGGGAACAAGCTTCAGAACAAGGAAGTGGTAAGCAAGATTGCATCTCTGCAACAATTTGTTCCCCATGACTTTGAGGCCAGTGACCACGGGACCTCTAGCTTTCCTGTTTCTGCTGTACATAAAATTGGGATATTAGATGTTAGGATCTTTAATACCGACAGGCATGCAGGAAATCTTCTGGTTAGGAAGCTTGATGGTTTCGCAAAGTTTAGTCAGGTTGAGCTCATTCCTATTGATCATGGTCTTTGCCTACCAGAGAGCTTGGAAGATCCATACTTTGAGTGGATGCATTGGCCTCAGGCATCAATTCCTTTCTCGGATGATGAGCTTGAGTACATAAGGAATCTTGATCCCATTCATGATTCTGAGATGCTGAGAACAGAGCTACCCATGATTCGGGAGGCATGCCTCCGTGTTTTGGTTCTTTCCACAATTTTCCTAAAGGAAGCAGCAGCTTTTGGACTCTGCCTTGCTGAGATCGGTGAGATGATGAGCAGGGAGTTCCAACGCCATGGGGAGGAACCAAGTGAGCTTGAGGTTGTATGCCTGGAGGCTAGGAGGATTTTAGAAGAGAGAGAACTGTTATATTCCGAGTCTGAAGTAACTGGTCGAGAGTTTCAGTTTGATATGGATTTTGAATATGCAGAGGCGGGACTTTCACCAAAGATATCAGGAGATTTTCCAAACAAATCTGCATTTCCTTTGGAGCTTAAACATGTGACTAGTTGGAGATCGCTGTCAAAAGTAGACGAAAGCAAGGAAGTGGGAAAATTTGAGATGGACGAGGAGATGACTGGGACAAACAGTAGCAATGTCAAGCAAAATGAGCATCACTTTCCAACTTTTTCAAGGCTTTCACTGTCTCTGAAGAAAATTAGTTTGGGGAAGAAGAAACTGCCACACAACGGTGGGAAACCTGAAGTTGCTTTCGTGGATGGGGGCCGAAGAAGTGCAAAGGAGTTCCTTCCAGTGACAACAAGCTTTGTGAAGCTGGCGGACATGAACGAAGAGGAATGGATTCTTTTTCTTGATAAGTTCCAGGAGCTTCTTTATCCTGCGTTTGCAAACCGAAAATCTCTCCAAATTGGCCAGAGGCAGAGACAGAGGCTCGGAACTTCATGCCAGTTCTGAGACTCTTTAACACTACCGCTTGATCAAATAAACACATACAGGAGATGCAGAGGACTTATTAACCTGTTCATTTTACAAGAACAAATTGTAGTCAGTAATGGCAGCAAAAAGGTACATTTATCTTCAGGATCAGGGATCTGTCATCAATACGTGTAAGAAAGGCAAAGAGTTCCCCCTTCAACTTTCACACGGAGTTCTCTTTTTCGATTTTCAGTATCTGCTACGACCTTGCTTATAGCGGAATACTTAGTAAGGTAGTTGGTAGAAAAGAAGAGGAGAACTACATACGTATGGTTGAGATGTATAAAGTATATCAGCTAAAGCAAAGACTTGGGATAAATACTATTGTAGTTTCTTGTGAGTGACCAATGTCAATACTAATCTATTTCGTCCTCTTTAATCACAATATTTACTCTCCTGCATGTATTAGGTTTTCATATCGTCGGTGGTTAAGTTTCCTCGCCGGTCTCAATCCCTTTCTCAAACAACACAAACATGGGCATAAATCACGTTTTCGCGGATGTAGATGCCATGGTAAGAACAATGGCTTAATCGTATTGTACATTGTTGGTTTTTCTGCAAATTCAAGGAGATGGGAGTCATAAGTCATTGCTGCCTTTTAGGAATCTATGAGAATCATGTTCAAAGTCATGTTAAAGGGGGGCTATCACAATTTCTTAGGCTGCCATCATTGCCCCTGGTGGCCAAGAAGTATCAGCTGCCTTGTCCCAATCAGGGATTGTGTGGGGTCAAATATCAAGGTCAAAACTGTAGCATGAGAACTGCAAGGGTGTCTGAGCTTAACACGTCTTCTCACGTGCATACTAGATTTTAAGTCAAACATGTGCAAGTGTATAATTATTTGGGTACTGCGACATTTGTCCGTCATACCTCATGGTATCATGACACCATATAGACTACCAACTATTCTAAAAGAATAAGTTTTCAAAGATGGTATAACGCAACTATTTATATACTCAAACTCAGAGAAGGAGATAGGAAATTTGGCACCGGACAATCCTAGGTGATAATTTAGATTATGCAGGTGAAAGTCTGTATCTGATGGACCAAGTCATGCGTAGGACCTGGTTCATTTAGCCATGCCTGAATAAGATGGTGAATAATATAAGAGTGTTGGAGTAAAATGAGACATTCGATATAAACCAAAGGGAGATTATTAAAGCAGTAATTTTCAATGAATGGGATTCCACATCTTGTCCACAATCAATAGACAGCTCCAAAAAGCATTGGTTAGGCTGAAACTACAATGATGTATTACTTTGATTTTTTTGTCAATTGGATTTGTTATTTGTTCTACTTGAATAGATGATTTACCTTAGTTTAGTAGATAACATGAATTGTTGAGAAGTTTTGGAAGTATTTCGTGTTTTCTTGCAGCAATTGTTTTGTTGCAATCAGTGATGTTTTGTGTTAATAAGATTCCTCTGATTGGTTCGATTTTATTTTTTAATCATAGTCGTGACCACATATTTTTGTTTAATTTTTTAGTTGTGATGGTCACGTAAGTATCGATCTCTTACAACAGATAAAATCAGCTGAGGTCAGTCATTAATTTGTTTTCATCAAAAAATGACTACAACCTGTTGCTAAACATAAGGTAAGATTAGGTCAAATTTAGGTGATGGGTTCAAGGGACACAACAAAAAAGATGGCAAATGGCATGATATAACTCAGAAGAATAAGAAAAACTGATGGCTAATAGACTGAGAGCCAAATGGAAGTTTTACCTTCACTAGCCCATGAGGGTCCTGGAGATATGTATGTCAGCATGTGTTTGATCTTTGTGCACAAAATCGAGTCATTTCAATTCTCTTGAATTCCATATTAAAATTGCTGATCAAAAAAGACATTTTCTTTGTGGAGTCGCGTTCGAGATGGAAAGCTACTTGGTTTTTTAGTACAAGTAGCTTTGAAACTTGCCTTATTATTAGAGAAAATAAATGAAAGATGAAAAGCTACTTGTTTTTTTAGTACAAGTAATTTTGAAACTAACCTTATTATTAGAGAAAACAAATGAGAAAACGGAAGGGTGTTAGTTACAATTAAATTGAAGGTCTGATGAACAAAGACTTTTGCGCAAGTTGCATGCAAATTGAAATTTATAACATTGGGTTTACTTGGTGGAGGGCAGTTATTCATGAATTTGACAGCAAGAGCTGACCTCATAATTTCAAAGTTTTGGATAAAATTATTCAAGCAATAGGATTGAAATCGACTTTCAGTCCTTAATAACATCACTTTTACCTTCGGTCAAGGCACGATTTTCCCTTGAATATAGGAGGGTGGGCATGTATCATGAGAAAAATCAACATCATACTCAGTGCACACGACTTCCACATATAATCAGATGTGGATGAGTTAAGTTGTACGCAGAGATACGATGATTTATCAAAAATTAAAGCTTGAAACTAAAATCATCAATTCTAAAATGATCAAATTTTCAACAAAAGCCAACAAAATAATTCCAGCAATTTTTTTTTTTTTTTTTTGCATCAGCATGCCAGGCTTCAATCAAACACCATAACCATAAATCATTCGACTCTTGTAGGTTTTATTTCCCAAATCCAGTGCAACAAGGTGGTATCAACATATCAAAGGGGTACCAAACTAGTGTAGTGTGTCTCTGTGTGAATATATACTTTGTAACATTCCACGGTTGAAATACTGCAATGAAAATAAAGCAAAACGACGAAAATTGAAACGAAACCACTTGTTCTTCACAAAAATTGAAACAACACCACTTGATTGGTTAGTTTCGGATAAAATAGTCTATCGTCGAATCAACACAGAACGAGAGAGAGCAATTCATGTTTCTTGGATGTCCAAATGCAGCAGGCAAAATAAAGAACTGGAGATAATTGGACAATTTATAATCTATCAACAGTGTACAGAGAAGAACAATAATTTTTTTTACCTACCAACAAAAAGTAGAAGTAAAACTACCATCTGAGCTGAACCTAAACAACCCAACAAAACCCCCACCGCCCAAAATGTACAAAAAAGATTATCAAAGAAAGGGGCAACAGTCGAGTGACATCATCAACAACTTGTATAAAACTGCAACAATAAGCAAATTGCCCAAAATCAGAGAAGAATAACATTATCATTGACTTGGATATACCCTAGCAACCAGCCATCAACCCAAAATAAAAAAAAGCCCTTAGCATGACATTTCAGCACCACCAGCTCTCTGAAGCATGATGGAGTTGACAACATCTTTCACAAATACATAAAAGCATTCTCTGCACGAACCAGGCATCAAAGTGGACCTTCGGAATGGCCGAATATCATTGCCATGGTAGCAGACCGAGCTCGGGAAGGAAGGGACACCAGGCTTTAGATGTTCTAAACCGCACGAAGCCAAGATAGAATGCGTAGCAAGCCTTGCAACTTCCTTGAACGCACCAACTTCTGCATAGATGACAATGAATTCACTTTATTGGACATGTTGTCAAGAGACCAAATGAGAGTCATAAGACTGCTTCATCACACAATAATTTAAGGGGTCACTCTAAATAGGCCAACAAACTGGTTTTGTAAAACTAGTCATGTCTAAATGGAAACATATGAAAATTGTAATACCCCATATTAAAATTAAATAAGGATAATATTATCTTAAGAGTTATCCTACAATGAATAAAATTATGGTAAAAATTTAGAATCATTCTTAAAATATTGATTATGAAGTTTTAGTTTCAAGCGTATTGACTTAAGGGATAAATTGAGTTTTGGAAATGATTAAATTTGAGAAGAGTGATTACGTAATTTTATAAATATTTTTAGATCAAAATAAATTTTCTATTGAATCTGGAAGATCGAAAAATATTGGAAGAAGTTATATGAGTTGTATTAGAAGTTTAGAAATATTCTAAAGTTAAAACTTATTTTGGGGAGGATTTGAGTAGAAAAAAATTTGACATAACCTTAGTATTTTGGCTCTAAATTCTGACCCTAATGTCAGATTGACTTGAAATTTTTACAGTAAAAATTAGACTTTAAGGGCTACTAAAGTGTATTTTACAAAAATTTCATGAATCGACTTCTAACTAGGTCAAAATTGAGTTGGAAGTTAGGGGCAGATTGTGACCCTCACCCACACGAGAATTCTCTATTTTTCATCCTATAAAATACCCTAGGGCCACGATCTAAAGAGTATTTGCCTATATTTTCAACCCCAAGAACCCTAGAAAAGTTTGAGGAGAATAAAAGGAGGAAGAACGGGTTGAATCTTGAAAGATTAACACGTGGTATCGCAACAAAATATAGTAGGATCAAGATTTCAAGAATCAAGGTAAGAGTTCTTTCTCAAATTCATTCATTGATGATTAGGGTTATATAATATATCTTGTTCATCATTATTATGATATAAATAATTGATTTACAATGTTTTTATGTTCTTTTGAATTCATGATTCGTTTCTTGAACAAAATACATGATTTACTTTCAAGATCTATTACCTTTTGATTTAAAAACCTTGTTCTTGGTTCCTACTCCACTTATGTGATAGATCGACAATATTTTTACATTCCTTTTTAAATATGTGTTTCAATTCTTGAATAAACACATGGTTTACATCCGAATACATGTTTGACATCAAAAGACTTTAAATCCTTGACTACAAAACCATAGGTCTTGATTACTATCAATTCAAATATATTTTCTATGGGATCTCTTGCATATTTTGTTGAATTATTCCTTTGAAAAAGTTATAGATCAATGATTCTTGATTGTAGTTAAATTTTATGAAAAGTGCTGTTTTTATCTCTTGTATTAACGGGTGCTATGAACATGGGTTATACTCAAATGCGTATCATAGTGTTAGAGATTTTCCTAACTTGAGAGGTTTGCTGGTTGCCTAACACTCATAGGGGGTTTAATTATTTGCGAGAGCTAACCACTATTTGTTCACGTAGATTCAAGGCTGGGGGTTAGTATACTATTCCTAGGAAAAAATACGTCAATGATACGTCGGTACACACCCTTCCTAAAGTGTTGTGGCCCTGCGGGGATTAATTTGAGATGGTTTGTGTTTGTAGGTGGACGAGATAGGTTTAGTATGTTGGTTCATAGTAGTCTACTTATATACATAAGATATTATGTTATGAATTGGGGTTTTGTGAATGATTCTATTATATTATGAACTTTACTGTGTTATTCCGTAAACTTGAGATCTCATTAAATGTCATTGTTTTACTTCAAAATTATATATATTATTTTATAAACTGTGATTTACCTGTTTTCCTGATTTCTAATCTTGTTTGGATTTGAGAAGGTTTTCCTACTAAGCTTTATTGCTCACCTTATCATAACATTTTTCAGATTTTAATGTTGAGGAGAATTTAGAGTTAGATGAGCCAGTCGATTGCTATGCTAAGGGGGATCATGATGTAGAATTTATTTATGTTTTTTTTTTTATTTATCTAATCAGATGTTAGATTATGAATGATTCTATTTATTTAATGATACTTTGGATGTTGTATAGATAGTTAATGTCTTCCAAAGTAAATTTTGGGGCGTTACAAAAGTCCAAGACAATATGCATCTCTTTTGGTGGTCAGTCCGGGATATGATTACAAGATGCATTAAATCTTTATCATAGCTAAACATTGTGCTTTTATCTTTTTTTCAACTAAACTTGCACAAGTCAACTCAATTCAACTCAACAAAGTTTTGTCCCAATGTTTTTGGGGTCAGCTACATAAATCCTATTCTGCCATTGAGCTCTATCAAGGGCAATATTTTCAGTTAAACTACAAATTATCATATCTTTCTTTACAATTTCATTTAAAGTTAATTTTGGTCTTCCTCTACCCCTACGTTTACTTCCACTAGCTATCATATTACTCTTTCACATTGGTGTCATAGGAGATCATCTATAAATATGTTCAAACCAGTGTTTTGAAAAGCTCGCCTAGGCGCTCGCCTAGGCGAGAAGCGAGGCGAGGCGAGCTTATCTCGCCTGGAGGACCCCAGACGAAGCGAACTTGAGCGAAGCGAGAAAAAAGCGAGAAAAAGCGAAAAAGCGAACGCTTTATTATAAAAAGCGATTCTGCTTCACTTTTTTTTTTTTCTGATTACAGGTTAGTAGTCTCTTTTATTTTTTAATCACTAATGACTTTTTTTTTAGACTATTGCTGGTCTATTTTTTTTTTTCTAATAAACAATGTTTCGAACAAAACACATTCTTTTTTTTTCCTTGTGTTGCTGAATTCATTTAGAATACTTGTGGGATGTGGGAGTCAGGCGACTACACTGCATGACAATTATGATAAAAAAATAAAGCAGGAGTATCAGAAATGGGGGTAAATAATAAATTCTTCTACAAAGAAGTGTCTCTAATATGTCTTGGTTATATTTTTCCCTTTTCTTATATATATACAAATGGTACCAAAAAGTGGTCTATGCTTATACCATGTTTAATTATTTTAGTACATGTGAAATGTGCCTCTGTTATGCTTTTTTTTATTCAGTATATAATTACATATGAAATTGTTTACAATTGATTCTGCTCCTGTCATGATCATTGTGCTT